TTGGCTTCCCAAAGTGCTGAGATTACAGGTGTGAGCCACCGTGCCCAGCCTGTTGTTTTTTTCTCTTGAGACAGTCTCACTCTGTCACCTGCCCAGGCTGGTGTGTAGTGGCTCATCTCAACTCACTGCAACCTCCACCTCCCAGGTTCAAGTAATTCTCATGCCTCCTGAGTAGCTGCGACTATCAAGGTGCATGTCACCACAGCCAGCTAACTTTTTGTATTTTTGGTAGAGACAGGGTTTTGCTATGTTGGCCAGGCTGGTCTTGAACTCGTGGCCTCAAGTGATTCTCCCGCCTCCACCTCCCACAGTGCTGGGATTATAGGCGTGAGCCACTGCTCCTAGCCAGGAGTTTTTTTATATATGAAGAAGAAATGTCAGGGAGTGCCTGTGCATGTTTAAAGTAAAAATAGTTATATATGCAGTAGAAATCATTCATTTAAAATACAAGCATCTCCATCCTACCAGATTTAGGAGCCGTGCTTAATATTGTGGGAGAGGTAAAGATGTTGAGTTTGACTCAGGGATGGAAGGAAAGGAGTTGAGAACAGTGGTGGTATTGGACAGTGCTTTGCAGTCAGGCAGTTGGGTCCGAAGTACTCTGCTAGTTATTAGCTTGTGTGCCATGTAAGCTATTGATTTAACCTGTCTGAGCCTCAGTTTTCCCATCTGTGAAACTGGAGTCGTAACAGACCCTTCTACTTAAAGTGGTTTTGAGGCTTCAGTGATGCCCGGTGCATGCTTAGCCAAGTGTGGTGGACAGAACGGTGGCGCTCAAAAGATATTCATGTCCTCGTCCCCAGAACCTGGAAATATTTTAATGACCAAAGGAGCTTTGCGGGTTTGATTAAATTAAGGATCTTGAGATGAGGAGAGTGCCCTGAGTTATCCGGTGGACCTCATGTAACCCCCAGAAGCTTTATAAGGGAAAGAGGAAGGCAAGAGTGCTGGAACCAGAGCTGTGAAGATGCAAGCAGAGCCTGGAGTGATGCCAGCGCTTTCAGCGGCTTTGAAGACGAGGAAGGGACTGTGAGCCAAGGAAGGCAGGTGGCCTCGAGAAGCTGAACATGCAAGGAGTCATATTCTCCTCTAGCGCTCCCGGAAGGAAGGAGCGCAGCCCCGCCGCATCTAGATTTTAGCTCTGTAAGGCCCAGTTTCAGACTTTTGACCTCCACATCTGTAAGATAACAAATTTGTGGGTTTTTTTTTGGGGGGAGGATGGAGTTTCGCTCTTGTTGCCCAGGCTGGAATACAGTGGTGCGCTCTCAGCTCACTGCAACCTACGGCCCCCAGGTTTAAGCAGTTCTCCTGCCTCAGCCTCCCGAGTAGCTGGGATTACAGGTATGGACCACCACGCCTGGCTAATTTTGTATTTTTAATAGAGACGGAGTTTCTGCATGTTGGTCAGGCTGGTCTCGCACTCCCGACCTCAGGTGATCTGCCTGCCTTGGTCTCCCAAAGTTCTGGGATTACAGGCGTGAGCCACTGCGCCTGGCCAAATTTGTGTTGTTTTTAGCCACGAAGTTTCTGCTAATTTGTACAACAGTAACAGGAAACTCATACACCAAGCACTTGGCACATGGTGAGAATCTGAAAATGTTAGCCATGATGATCCTCTTGTGACAGATGGGACACCCAAGCAAGCATCAGAGAAGGGGTTCTACAGGGCCACCTAGTAAGGAAGGACAGAGCCAGAGTTACAGCTTAGTAACTCTTGAGTAGTAACTTCTGCAAACGGTTGCTGGGGGCCTCTTCTGCGTCTGTCTGCCCATCCACTGGGAATGCACTAGAGGCCTGCTGTGTTAATGATATTCACAGCTGACATTTATATAGTGTTTGCTCTGTGCCAGGCGGTATTCCAGGCACTTGGTATGTTATTTCTCATTCTTGGTATGAATTTGAATGTTCTCAACAACTTTATGAGGTAGGCGTTGTTACTGTCCCCATTTCACAGGTTCAGAAACTGAGGCACAAGGGGTGAAATGAAACCATTTGCTCCAGGATCACACAGCAGGAAATCAGCAGAGCTGGGAAGGACCAGACACTGTTCTTGGCCTTGGGGACACAGGAGGGAGCAACTCAGACATTGTCCTTGCTCTCGTGGAGCTTAAAAGTCTAGCGGGAGAGACAGATGCTAGACAAATACAAACAAAAAAGATGTAACTATGTAACACCAGGCAGTAAACATGAAGAAAAGTAAAGTCGGGTAGGGAGATAGAGAGTGGCACCGGGTAGGGGGCGAGGTAGTCTACTTATGGTCTGAAGTGACATCTGAGTGGGCACCTGAAGCACAGAAGGCAAACTTTTACCCAGCTATGGGTATGTTTGAGAGAAAAGTGGTCCAGACAGAGGGATTGGCAGGTGCAGAGGCCCTGAGGTGGGAAGGAGCCAGACTGTTCTTGGCACAGAAGGGAGGCTGTTGTGGCTGGTGAAGAGTCACAAAGCCTGGCCAGAGGCTAAGCAGTCAGACTGGGACTTCTTGTTTTTTTTTTTTTGTTGTTGTTGTTATTGTTTTGTTTTGTTTTGAGACAGAGTGTCGCTCCATTGCCCAAGCTGGAGTGCAGTGGCACAATCTCGGCTCACTGCAACCTCCGCCTCCCGGGTTCAAGTGATTCTCCTGCCTCAGCCTCCCCAGTAGCTGGGATTACAGGCGCTCACCACCATGCCCGGCTAATTTTAATTTTTGTATTTTTAGTAGAGACGGGGTTTCACCATGTTGGCCAGGCTAGTCTCAAACTCCTGACCTCAAGCGATTCACCTGTCTCAGCCTCCCAAAGTGCTGGGATTACAAGTGTGAGCCACCGCACCCGGCCCAGACTGGGACTTCTCATGAGCCCAGGCAGCACTGTACACTGCCCAGGGCTCAGGGCTGGGAGTGGCGGTGGAGGCAGGGGAGTCAGCAGGAGGTCTGCCGGCCTTAGCCTTAGGCAGGCCCTTCCTCCAGCACCATCTTCCTTTTCCAGCACATTAGTGGTGTGATGGGGGAGCACGCATGGACTGTCGCCAGCCTTTCTGGGTTCCGGTCCGGCTTTGCCACCCACCAGCTGTGAAGTTACATAATCACTTCCTGCCTCCGTTTGCTCATGTGTAAGATGGAGATAATTATAGCAACTGCCTGGCAGAGCCGTTGCAGGAGAGTAGATACATGTATTATTAGCAAGAGTCTGGCATACCAGGAGCACTGAGTGCACTCAGATGTTGGCCGCAGTTGTGGTTATAGTTGTTAATTCTGTGTGTCATCTCAACTTACTTCAGAGGGAGGGTAAGTTTTTTTTTGGAGACAAGGTCTCATCACTCTGTCGCCCAGAGTACAGTGATACGAGCACGACTCACTGCAGCCTTGACCTTCCCTGGCTCAAGTGATCCTCCCGCCTCAGCCTCCTGAGTAGCTGGGACCGCAGGTATATGCCACCATGCCTGGCTAATTTTTGTATTTTTTGTAGAGACAAGGTCTGGCTATGTTGCCCAGGCTGGTCTTGAACTCTTGGCCTCAAGTGATCCTCCCACCTCAGCCTTCCAAAGTGCTGGTTATACAGACGTGAGCCACTGTGCCTGGCCAAGGAAGGAGGGTTGTTATGACCATCTTCCCTTTTTGCACATGAGGAAACTGCCTCACAGAGACGTTGACTATGTCACCCAAGGTTGTACAGGTTGGAAATGGCATTGCTGCATTTGAGCCCAGGCCTACCTCACTCCAAGTCCAGGCTCCCTCCTCCCATACAGTAGTGTTCCTGTTGATAGCAGTGTACAGGTGATGTCTAGATGATCTGACAGGGAGGCAACGGAGCAGACTGGAGCATCTGTCATCACCACGGGGAGGAGAGGGCAGTGTAGGGTGGTGGACTCAGTACCTGGTTTTTTTTTTTTTTTTTTTTTGAGACAGAGTCTCGCTCTGTCAACCAGGCTGGAGTGCAGTGGCACGATCTCTGCTTACTGCAACCTCTGCTTCCCAGGTTCAAGAGATTCTCATGCCTCAGCCTCTTGAATAACTGGGACTACAGGCATGCATCACCATGCCCGGCTAATTTTTATATTTTTAGTAGAGAAGGGTTTTGCCATGTTGGCCAGGCTGGCCTCAAGTGATCCACTGCCTTGGCCTCCCACAGTACTGAAATTACAGGCTTGAGCCACTGCACCTGGCCTAGGTACCTTTGAGAGTTGCAATAATGTGTCATTCTAGGATCCTAATAAAAGAGCCCCAAACTGGAAGGTAGGACACTTGCCTCAACCTAACTGCCTCCCATGCCCACATGGCCCACATGGCTTTCTGCATCTTCATCTGTCAGACCGGAATGGCAGATCCTTTGAGATGAGGCCTCCTATAGGTAGCTCTTTTCTTCTTTCAACAAAGAGTTGTCAAGCACTGACTAATAATACCTCCTGACTGACAGTGGTTAATTGCCTACTCCTCACCATGCCCTGTGGCCATTATTTATGTGCATGATCCTAGATATGGTGGTCATTCCCATTTTACAGGTGAGAAAACTGAGGCTCCAAAAGGTTAACTGGCATGGTCATACAGCTAGTGTGCAGCAGAGCTGGTATTCAAACCCAGGAACTAGTGGTGAGCAAGATTGGACGAAGCCCCTGCTCTCAGGGAGGTTTCCTGGAGTCCTCTGCAATTGTGGGTGAGGGGTGACATGTGCTGTTTGTCTGCATGATGATTCGAATAAAGTTATAACTCTGACAAGTGCTTACCAAGGAGAGCTCCATGGTGGCGTGTGATAGGCTGACGTGGTGGAGTCTGGAGAGGTCAGGGAAGCAGGTATGTGTGGGGTGGGGGCGTATGCATTCATTCAGTGACTGTTTTGTCAATTCCTGCTCCATGCCATACCCTATGCTGCGTGGAGGGGACACATGGCACCAGTCAACCCTGGTGTGCCCCCTCACAGAGTTGACGTTACAGGGACATGGTGATCCAAAGGAGATTCATCCTGAGGTCCCACGGTGAGCCCAGGGGCAGAGCAGGCACTGACAGTGGCCTCTCTCTCTGCCCACAGTTGGAGAAGGAGGAGCAGATACACAGTGTGGACATTGGGAACGATGGCTCAGCTTTCGTGGAGGTGCTGGTGGGCAGTTCAGCTGGAGGCGCTGGGGAGCAAGACTATGAGGTAAGCAGGGCTATGAGATGGATCCCATACTGACCTCTGCCCCTCATGCCCGCATCACCGTCTCCTCCAGGGGCTGGGGCTGGGAAGACATGGGGCAGATGTGAGTCACACCTGATTGCTGCCCTCTGGAGGATCACCAGTGTACGGAGGAGACAGAAGGCAGACATGGGGCGGTAAACTGCACATCAGGGAAGAGAGCAAGTTTGGATCATGGCTTAAAGTGACACAAATGTATTATCTGACTGTTCTGGAAGTCAGAAGTCTAAAATCACTCTTACTGGGCTAAAATCTAGGTGTGGGCAGAGCCGTGTTCCTTCTGGAGGCTCTAGGGGAGAATCCATTTCCTTGCCTATTTCAGCTTCTAGAGTCCATCTGCCCTCCTCAGCTTGTGGCCCTTCCTTCATCAAAGCCAGCACTCCTGTCCCTCTAATGCCTGCTTCCATTTCCATTGTCACTTCTCCAACTCTGACTCTCTTGCCTTCTTTTTTTTTTCTTTTTTTTTTTTTTTTTTGAGACAGAGTCTCACTCTGTCGCCCAGTCTGGAGTGAGTGCAGTGGCGCGATCTCGGCTTACTGCAACCTCTGCCTCCTGGGTTCAAGTGATTCTTCTACCTCAGCCTCCTGAGTTGCTGGGACTACAGGTGCCTGTCACCATGCCCTGCTAACTTTTTTTTTTTTATTATTTTTAATAGAGACGGGGTTTCACCATATTGGCCAGGCTGGTCTCGAACTCCTGACCTCCTGATCTGCCCTCCTCAGCCTCCTATATGCTGGGATTACAGGCGTGAGCCACTGCGCCCATCTTTCTTTTACTTTTTTTATTTTTGAGACAGGATTTCATTTCCATTGCCCAGGCTGGAGTACAGTGGCATGATCTCAGCTTACTGCAACTTCTGCCTCCAAGGTTCAAGTGATTCTCCCATCTCAGCCTCCCAAGTAGCCGGGGCTACAGGTGCACACCACCACTCCTGGCTAACTTTTGTTATTTTCTGTAGAGACAGGGTTTCACTGTGTTGCCCAGGCTGGTCTCAAACTCCTGGGCTCAAGCGATCCACCCACCCCAGCCTCCCAAAGTGCTGGGATTATAAGCATGAGCCACCACACTCAGCCCTCCTTTCTTATAAAGACCCTTATGCTTGGCCCTTTTCTGTATCTTTTTTATATGTTTGTTGACAATGCTGATTTATTTTATTTATTTTGAGACAGAGTCTCATTCTGTTGCTCAGGCTGGAGTACAGTGACATGATCTTGGCTCACTGCAACCTCCATTTCCCAGGCCTAAGGGATTCTCCAGCCCCAGCCTCCTGAGTAGCTGAGACTATAGGTGTGAGCCACCATGCCCGGCTAATTTTTTAAAAAAATTTGGCCAGGCGTGGTGGCTCACGCCTGTAATCCCAGCACTTTGGAAGGCCGAGGCGGGTGGATCAGGAGATCGAGACCATCCTGGCTAACACAGTGAAACCCTGTCTCTACTGAAAATACAAAAAGTTAGCCAGGCATGGTGGTGGGCGCCTGTAGTCCCAGCTACTGGGGAGGCTGGGGCAGGAGAATGGCATGAACCCAGGAGGCGGAGCTTGCAGTGAGCCGAGATCGTGCCACTGCACTCCAGCCTGGGTGACAGAACGAGACTCCATCTCAAAACAAAAAAAAAATTTTTGTAGAGATGGGGTTTCCCTACATTGCCTGGCTAGTCGTGAACTCCTGAGCTTAAAGTGATCCTCCCACCTCGGCATCCCAAAGTACCGGGATTACAGGCCTGAGCCACTGCACCTGACTGAAAATACTTTAAAAAAAAAAAAGATTTCCCTTTTCTCATTGAATCATTTTGACTCCTTGTTGAGAATTAATTGACAATATGTGTGGGTTTATTTCTATACTCTCTTCTCTGTTCCATTGATATGTGTATTTTTCTTTATGCCAATGCCAAACTGTCTCTTTTTTAAACCATATATTTCATTTTATTTGTTTGTTTGTTTATTTATTTATTTGAGATGCGGGTCTCACTCTGTTGCTCAGGTTGGAGTACACTGGGATGATCTCAGCCCACTGCAACGTCTGCCTCCTGGGCTCAAGTGATCCTCTCGCCTCAGCCCCCCAAGTAGCTAGTGGGAGTCACCATGCCCAGCTAATATTTAAATATATTTTGTAGAAATGGGGTTTCACTATGTTGCCCAGGCTGGTCTTGAACTCCTGAGGTCAAGTGATCCACCTGCTGCGGTCTCCCAAAGTGCTAGGATTACACATGTGAGCCACCGTATGTATCTGGCCTACTCTTTTGTTTTTTGAAACGAAGTCTCACTTTGTCACCCAGGCTGGAGTGCAGTGGCACGATCTCAGCTCACTGCAGCCTCCCAGGTTCAAGTGATTCTCCTGCCACAGCCCCTGAAGTAGCTGGGACTACAGGCTTGCACCACCATGCCCAGCTGATTTTTGTATTTTTGAAGAGATGGGGTTTTGCCACGTGGCCCAGGCTTGTCTCAAATTCCTAAGCTCAAGCAGTCTGCCTGCCTCGGCCTCCATATACTCTTCATTCATATTCCCCAAAGGTAACAAATATGAACATATTTTTTTTCTGCACTGAGCGTAAATTATGTGCATGATGCCCCTTTATCCCTGAATACTCCAGTGAGTATTTCCTAAAAGCTGAGACATTTCTTACTTGACTACAGTGCAATTACAAAGTTAGGAAATTAACATTGATACAGTGCTATATCATCTGATCTCAGACTTTCTTCACATTTTCTTCATTGCCCCGATAATGTTATTTACAGCAAAAGAAAATGCAGAATCATGCATTGCATTGATTTGTCACATCTCCTTGGTTTCCATTCATTAAAAAGAGTTCCTGTGACGGCCAGGCACAGTGGCTCACGCCTGTAATCCGAGAACTTTAAGAAGCTGAGGTAGGAGGATCACTTGAGCCCAGGAGTTAGGGACCAGCCTGGGCAACATACTGAGACCCCGTCTCTATTAAAAAATAAAAAGAAGGGGCCGGGCGCGGTGGCTCAAGCCTGTAATCCCAGCACTTTGGGAGGCCGAGACGGGCGGATCACGAGGTCAGGAGATCGAGACCAACCTGGCTAACACGGTGAAACCCTGTCTCTACTAAAAATACAAAAAAAAACTAGCCGGGCGAGGTGGCGGGCGCCTGTAGTCCCAGTCACTTAGGAGGCTGAGGCAGGAGAATGGCGTAAACCCAGGAGGCAGAGGTTGCAGTGAGCTGAGATCCGGCCATTGCACTCCAGCCCGGGCAACAGAGCAAGACTCCGTCTCAAAAAAAAAAAAAAAAAAAAAAAAATAATAATAAAAAGAAGGCCTGGTGTGGTGGCTCATGCCTGTAATCCTAGCACTTTGGGAGGCCACTGCGGGTGGATCACTTGACCTCAGGAGTTTGAGACCAGCCTGGGTAACAACATCAAAACGCTATCACAGAAAGAAAGAAGCTGGGCGTGGGTGGCGCACACCTGTAATCCCAGCACTTTGGGAGGCCGGGGTGGGTGGATCACCTGAGGTCAGCAGTTCATGACCAGCCTGACTAACATGGAGAAATCCCATCTCTACTAAATACAAAAAAAAAAAAAAAATAGCCAGGCATAGTGGCGCAGGCCTGTAATCCGAGCTACTTGGGGGGCTGAGATGGAGAATCGTTTGTACCTGGTAGGCAGAGGTTGCAGTGAACCGAGATCGCACCATTGCACTCCAGCCTGGGCGACGAGTGAAACTGCATCTCAAAAAAAAAAAAAGGGAAGGAGGGAGGGAGGGAGAACGGAAGGAATGAAGGCTCCTGTGACTTTGGGTGTGTGCCTTTGATGTTTTTGAAGAGTAGAGGTCAGTGATTTTGTCAGATATCACTTACTAGACAAAATATATGATGTTTCCTTGTGATTAATTTAGGTTGCACACTTTGGCCAGAATACCACAGAAATGATGTGTAATATACAGTTGATTTTGTATATTGACTTCTCATCTTGTGACCTTCACTTACTAAACCTTGTAGTTTGTCTAGATCTCTTGGGATTTTCTGCATAGACAATCACGTCATCTGTGAAAAAAGATAGTTTTCTTTTTTCTTTTTCTCACCTTGTCACACTGACTAGTGCAATGTTGAATAGAAGTGGTGGAAGTGGACATCCTCGCTTTGTTCCTGATCTTAGGGGGAAGGCGTTGAGTCCTTCACCATTAAATATGGTGTTAGCTATAGGTTGTTTGTTTTTTATAGATGTCCTTTGTTAGGTTGAGAAAATTCTTTTCTATTTCTGGTTTGTTGAGAGCTTTTTTTGTTTTGTTTTCCATGAATGTGTATTGAATCTTATCAAGTGCTTTTTCTGCTCTACAAGGTACATCTTAACAAATGAAACTTCTGCAGTGCAGTGGCTCATGCCTGTTATCCCAGTGCTTTGGGAGGCCAAAGCAGGAGGATCACTTGAAATCAGGAGTTCGAGACCAGTCTAGGCATCAAGGCAAGACCCTGTCTGTCCCAAAAATAAAAACATTAGCCAGGCATGGTGGTGCATACTAGTAATCCCAGCTACTCAGAAGGCTAAGGTGGGAGGGTCCCTTGACCCCTGGAGGTGGAGGCTGCAGTGAGCTATGAGCATGCCACTGCACTTTAGCCTGGATGACAAACTGAGACGGTCGCAAAAAAAAAAAAAAAAAAAAAAGGTTATGTGTTTTTTTGGCAAATGGATTTAGATCAAAATTCTACTTTATTATTTCTTATTTTTTTTAAGTCAGGGTCTCACTCTGTCACCCAGGCTGGAGTCCAGTGGCATGATCATGGCTCACTGTAGCCTCAAACTCCCCAGGCTCAGGTTATCCTCCCACCTCAGCCTCCTGAGTAGCTGGGACTACAGGCATCTGCCACTGTACCTGGCTAATTTTTGTATTTTTAGTGGAGATGGGGTTTTGCCATGTTGCCCAGGCTGGTCTCAAACTCCCAGGCTCAAGCAATCTGCCCGGCTTGGCCTCCCAAAGTGCTGGGATTACAGGCATGGACAACTGCACCTGGCCAGAATTCTACTTTATAATGATAAAGACAGAATAAGTACATTTTTAGCTAAAATTTTATCATATCTGGTATGTGAATGTTTATTTACCTTCGCTATCTTTCTAGTAAGATGGAATGGGTAGTTGTATTAGTCAAGGTGCTGCAGAGAGATAGAAGCAATAGTTTATAGATATAGATATAGATAGAAGAGATTACGAGAGTTGGGTCACATGATTATGGAGGCTGCAAAGTCCCATGATAGACTGTCTGTAAGCTGGAGAACCAGGGAAGCTGGTAGCATGGTTCAGCCCAAGTTGCAAGGCCCTAAAGCCAAGGAAGCCAGTGGTCTAACCCTCAGAGGAAATCTCAGTTCATGTGGATAGCAGCTGCCAACCACAGCTTGCCTTACCCCTTTTAGTCACCGAAAATGCAGCTTCCCTGTCAGCTCCAAATTCAGGCCTTTTCTAAATAAGTATAGTCAAGGTCAGGGAGAAAGCTTCCCTTCTGTATAATTGTCTTTCTTGTTTCCTTTGCACAATCAGCTGCGCACAAAAAGAGCTATGGTTATGTTCTGTTTTTCTCAGCAAAAGGCGTTATTGTTCAATTTTATAAATTTCACAGCATGTCAGTTAGAAAAGAGACTAAGTGACTAAGTCAGTAACAAAATATACCCAACCAAAAGTGGCTACATTCATCTTTGTTTTTTTTTTTTTTTTTTTTTTTTTTTTTTTTTTTTTTTTTTTGACATGGAGTCTCGCTCTGTCACCAGCCTGCAGTGCAGTAGCGCAATCTTGGCTCACTGCAACCTCCACCTCCCAGGTTCAAGTGATTCTCCTGCCTCAGCCTCCCAAGTAGCTGGGACTACAGGCACGCACCACCACGCCCAGCTAATTTTTTGTATTTTTAGTGGAGATGGGGTTTCACCATGTTGGCCAGGATGGTCTCGATCTCCTGACCTCGTGATCCACCCACCTTGGCCTCCCAAAGTGCTAGGATTACAGGTGTGAGCCACACCATGCCCAGTCTTTTTGTTTTGTTTTGTTTTTTGTTTTTTGGCAGAGTCTTGCTCTGTCATCCAGGCTGGAGTGCAGTGGCGCAATCTTGGCTCACCATCACCTCCACCTCCTGGGTTCAAGCAATTCTTGTGCCTCAGCCTCCCGAGTAGCTGGGATTATAGGTGCCCACCACCACATCCAGCTAATTTTTGTATTTTTAGTAGAGACGGGGTTTCACCATGTTGGCCAGGCTGGTCTCGAACTCCTGGCCTCTTGTCACCCAGGCTTGAGTGCAATGGTGTGATCTCAGCTCACTGCAACCTCCGCCTCCTAGGTTCAAGCAATTCTCTTGCCTCAGCCTCCCGAGTAGCTGAGACAACAGGCGCCTGACACCATGCCCGGCTAATTTTTGTATTTTTAGTAGAGACGGGGTTTCACCATGTTGAACTCCTAATCTCAAGTGATCTGCCTTCCTTGGCCTCCCAAAGTGCTGGGATTACAGACGTGAGCCACCGTGCCTGGCCTCAGCTTGAGTTTTTCAATGCAGTTTGCAAACATGAATTTCTGCTCTAAATTCCTTGAGAGAACAGACTTGTGAGGAGTTCTCCAGAGAAGAATTTTCACCTTTTCTTTGGTGTCCCCCCAAGCTAAGGCCAAGACAGACAGGCCTCCCAGGGACTCTTTCCACAGGTGCATTTCCTGTTCATTTAACTAGTGTGGGCATTGCCTTTGGGGAGTCCTCAGTTCTGTGCAATGTGGTGAGGATCTCTGAGATGCCGTTCTCCCTTGCTTGGAGCCTGGGTTTTCTCTCTTGTTCTCTTTCACCACCAAGTGCATAACCCTTAAAGATCAAGTTCTAGCTGGGTATGGTGGCTTATGCGTGTAATTCCTTAGCTTTGGGAGGCTGAGGTGAGAGGATCGTTTGAGGCCAGGAGTTCAGGACCAGCCTGGGCAACATAGCAAGACCCTGCCTCTACAACAAATAAAAAATTAGTCAGGTGTGGTGTTGTGCATCTCTTGATCCAGCTACTCAGAGGCCAAGGTGGGAGAATCACTTGAGCCCTGGAGGTTGAGGCTGCAGTGAGCTATGATCGTACCACTACACTCTAGCCTGGGTGACAGAGAAAGACCCTGTTTCTTAAAAAAATAAAAATAATAAATAAAATCAAGTTTTTGCCACCTGAGATCAGCACCATGACAAACTACTAACATTAGTGCTGCCGGGTCAGACAGGGTCCTGCCAGGAGACTAAAACCACACCAGTTATTTTAACAGAGAATTTAGTAGAAAGAACCAGTAACTAGGTGTTACTGGAAGACTAAGATATGAAGGAGAAGCTTCATATCAGCAGGGAGTAGCTATCACTCCCAGGGTTGGGGGAACAAAAGAGAGGGGCAGGAATTGTTAAAACGTAGATGTTTGGAAACTTGGAGGTGGGGCCCCAGGAGCTGAAATTCAGATCATTTGAGGAGGGCTTTCTCCCCTAGCGGCTGCTGAGAGGGGCTGAACGAGGCTGTTTCTGGAGGTACTGGGACACTGCAAGCTGGATTCATCTGCTGCTGCAGGCAGGAACCACTGCAGAAGCTGAAGCTTAACTGGGGGTGATGCTCACAGGATCTGCAAATGCACGAGGAGCAGGTCCCTCCTCCCTCCTGCAGCCTTGCAGCCTCTCTCTGTCGCTCCCCCTATTGGCAGAGCCTGGTCATGATCAGCTAGGGAAGCAGAAACGTGATTTACCAAGTGCAGGCCCAGATCACAGAGATGAGTTGTAGAGGGTAGGGTTGAGCTGAGAAACAATCACTTAATACTTAGTGCAGCTCCTCTGACTCTTTGGATTCTGTTCTCTCATTTCCAGCCTCTAGTAATTCCCCTTGCCTTTCCACTGACTCACCTGTACATTTCCAAAAGGTGTTTGAATATTGTTCCAGTTTACCAAGTATTCCCTGCCGGGAAAGTTCCTTAGGACATGTAGCCTGCTGTATTGCCAGATATATGGAAGACTCCATGGGAGAATTTAGATAAGGGTCGCTCACATCTGGAGGATGAAAAGATCCCTGTGGGGCCTGTGTCAGGGCAGGACTGACTCAAGGCCCAGAAACAAAGGAAGGGTCTGGGGCCATCAAGGCCCAAGCTACATTCTAGTGTCTCCTAGTCCCCTGCATGGGCCCTGTGCCCTCTTCCCCAGCCCCTAGAAGTTCTCATCTAAACCAACCTGCCCTGGTTCTCATTCACTGTGGTTTCTCCCACCCCAGGTCCTTCTGGTCACCTCATCTTTCATGTCCCCTTCTGAGAGCCGCAGTGGCTCAAACCCCAACCGCGTTCGCATGTTTGGGCCTGACAAGCTGGTCCGGGCAGCCGCCGAGAAGCGCTGGGACCGGGTCAAAATTGTCTGTAGCCAGCCCTACAGCAAGGTACCTAGGGTGCAGAGTCCTTGGTCCTGGGCAAGGAGGGAAATAAGGGCCAATGTTGAGTCTGCTCAACACTGAGGGCCATTAGGGCTGGGAGGAGCAGACAGCTGGTGTCCCTTGGGATTATGGGGAGACTGGATCCGTGCGTTCCCCGAAATGGGTTTGGAATCTTTCCTGTAATGAGAAGTTTCATCTCCTGGAGGGAATCTAGGAAGGGTGAACTGTAGCATCTCAGAGGGCAATCGGAGGAGGGGAACTGACTTGTTAGGGAGGTGGCCTAGTAGAGTGGGCCTAGTAGTTAACATCAGGAGATCTGGAGTCTGATTACTGAGTTCACATCCTGGCTATACCACTTTTTAGGTTTGTGATCTTGGGCAAGTGACTTACCTTCTCTGGGCCTCCATTTCCTGATCCTTATAGGGTTGCTGTAGGTTAGGGGATGCTAAAAGCTGTGGTAACAGTAAGACTGGAGTATGTGATGATGCCACACAATAAAGGTGTGCTTCTTGCCCAAGTAACTGTCCTGGGGAGTGTTTAGCCTGTCAGCTGGCTTCTCCTTATGAGGTCATGCAGGGACCCAGGCTTCTCCCATTTTCTGGCTCTGCATCCAGCTGGCAGAGGAGGAGAGAGCCTGGAACACTTCTGTGTTCTGGAAGTAGCACGCAGCACTCCCTCCCATTCCACAGGCAGGAGTTTGTGCATAGGGCAGTGGATTCGCTGGGACACCCAGTAGACTCTGCCAATTGCTCAAAGAGCTAATGTGTGAAAAGGGCTTGGAGCCAGACTCAGAGTTAGGGCTCAGTCACAACAGCTAAATCCTATAATCGTCATCACCATCACCAGGGCCCCTCCTTCAACATGGGTGTTCATGAGAGGGAAAGAGCCAGGAAGGGGTTTCCCTGAGTGAAAAGGTCTTTGAGCCTGGCCTCTGTCCTTGGGCCAGACTCCCTGACTCCCACCCCTCCTTTCCCAGGACTCCCCCTTTGGCTTGAGTTTTGTACGGTTTCATAGCCCCCCAGACAAAGATGAGGCAGAGGCCCCGTCCCAGGTAAGCTGTACCCGTCGCTCCCCATGGCCTTCTCCCTGCCTCTCCACCCCCACCTGCCAGCAGCCCACCTATAACACTGAACTTGCGGGACCTTAGAAGGTGACAGTGACCAAGCTCGGCCAGTTCCGTGTGAAGGAGGAGGATGAGAGTGCCAACTCTTTGAGGCCGGGGGCTCTCTTCTTCAGCCGGATCAACAAGACATCCCCAGGTGAGCTCGGACAACCTGGGTCCTGAGTGAGTAGGGTTGAGACCTAGACTCGTGGGTTTGAGGGTAGAGGGGGCTGGGGCTCAGATTCCTGGGTCTGAGGGAGGGGGGTAGTGCAGTCCTGTATGGGGTCTCAGGGTGGAGGAAGGTGGGCCTGGCCTCTTGTGTCCTGAGGGATGAGGGGTCTGGGGGCTGGGACTCCTGGATCATGGGTGGGATTTGGGAACAGTACTCTGTGTCCCATAAATGGGAGTGAAAGGGTCTTGGGGCTCAGCCCTCTCATCCTGAATCCACTTTCTGCCTTCATAGTCACAGCCAGCGACCCGGCAGGACCCAGCTATGCAGCTGCTACCCTCCAGGCCTCTAGTGCTGCCTCCTCAGCCTCTCCAGTCTCCAGGGCCATAGGCAGCACCTCCAAGGTGAAATCATCAGACTTTGGTGGGGTGGAGGAGGAGAGAAGCTGGAGGCCTAACCCATCCCCATCCCCTCAGCCCCAGGAGTCTCCCAAAGGGAAGAGGAAGTTGGATTTGAACCAAGAAGAAAAGAAGACCCCCAGCAAACCACCAGCCCAGCTGTCGCCATCTGTTCCCAAGAGACCTAAATGTAAGCTAACTAGATCCCTTGTTCCCATAGGAGCCTGTGCTCCTGTGGCCTAGGGGAAGAGGGGCTGGAGTCTGCTGTCCTGAATCTGAGGGAGGAAGGGCTGGGGGCCTGGACCCCTGGGTCTGAGGGGGAGGGGCTGGGGGCCTGGATTCCTGAATCTGAGGGAGGAGGGACTGGGGCCTGGGCCCCTGGGTGTGAGGGAGGAGGGGTTGGGGGCCTGAACCCCTGGGTCTGAGGGAGGAGAGGTTGGGGCCTGGACCCCTGGGTCTGAGGGAGGAGGGGCTGGGGCCTGGGCCCCTGGGTCTGAGGGAGGAGGGGTTGGGGGGCCTGAATCCCCTGGGTCTGAGGGAGAAGAGGTTGGGGCCTGGACCCCTGGGTCTGAGGAAGGAGGGGCTGGGGGCCTGGACCCCTGGGTCTGAGGGAGGAGGGGCTGGGGCCTGGATTTCTGGGTCTGAGGGAGGAGAGGCTGGGGCCTGGACTGCTGGGTCTGAGGGAGGAGGGCCTGGGGGTTGAGTCCCAATGGTGGTAACTGAATCTACTCTTTGGCTTCTCCAGTACCAGCTCCCATTCGTACCCCAGCCGCAGTCCCAGTCCCTGCCCCAGCACAGGGGGCAGTGACAGGCAAGCCCCGAGGAGAAGGCACCGAGCCCAGACGACCCCGAGCTGGCCCAGAGGAGCTAGGGAAGATCCTTCACGGTGTGGTAGTGGTGCTGAGTGGCTTCCAGAACCCATTCCGCTCTGAGCTGCGAGATAAGGCCCTAGAGCTTGGGGCAAAGTACCGGCCAGACTGGACCCAGGACAGCACGCATCTCATGTAGGCTTGCACCTCACTGTCTGTGCTGCTACAGTTTCTCCCTCAGCTTCCTGTGTCTTCTCCACCTTGTGCTTTCTCTGTGTCCACTCTGCTGCATGCTTTCTCTCTCTCTCACTCGCTTTCTTTCTCGCTTGCACTCTGTAGCCTTTGTCTTCTCTCTGATTTTTGCATCTCTCCCTTGGTCTCCAACCTCTTTTTATTTCTCCCACCTCGATCTCACGATCTCTCTCTCTCTCTCTCTCTCTGTCTCCCTCTGTCTCCCCTGTCTCTCTCATTTCCCTTTGCCCCTCAGATCACACCTAACTGACATCCTCACTTCTGCCCCCCACCAGCTGTGCCTTTGCCAACACCCCCAAGTACAGCCAGGTCCTAGGCCTGGGAGGCCGCATCGTGCGTAAGGAGTGGGTGCTGGACTGTCACCGCATGCGTCGGCGGCTGCCCTCCCGAAGGTGAGGCCACACACACACCAACCCTGCTCCTTATTCTGTGCTGGGCAATGCCAGGGATCTGGAGAGGAGTCAGACCAGAGCCTGCCAGCGGAAACACAGGTGGTCCCAGCCCAGAGTCAACAGATTACTGAGAGGAGTGGGGCAGGGGCTGGGGTACTCCAGATGAGGGAAGGAGGACCTGCCTGGGAGGTCACAGAGCTCTGTGAAGCCTGCTTATCAGAAAAGTCTGGAGGAGTAGTTTGTGCAAAGACTCAGGGGTGGTAGAACAAGTGCTGGGGTCCATATTCATTCATTCAAAGTGAGGCCCGGCACAGTAGTTCATGCCTGTAATCCCAGCACTCTGGGAGCTGAGGCAGGTGGATCACTTGAGGTCAGGAGTTCGAGGACCAGCCTGGCCAACATGGTGAAACGCTGTCTCTACTAAAAATACAAAAATTAGCTGGGTGTGGTGGTGCATGCCTGTAATCCCAGCTACTTGGAAGGCTAAGGCAGGAGAATCGGTTGAACCCAGGAGCCAAAATCGTACCACTGCACTCTAGCCTGGGAGACAAAGCAAGACTCCATCTCAACAAAAAAACCCTCAAAAACCAAAATGAGTCCCAGAAGCCTCTGCTTGGTGCCAGGCTGGACTGTGCAAGGCTGAGGATCCAGTCATCGAGCCCTGCCCTTGAAGGCTTCTCACTTTGATGAGGGATTAGAATTGTTGTAACAGTGGAGTGGAAGCTCTACAGGGTGTCCTGCAGAGAGCGAGGGGTCTTCCAGGTCCCAGGAGAGATTTTTCAGGCTGAACAGAGGCAGCCTCTGCCTGCTGGGCAGAGGAGACAAGGTCAGGGAAGCCTGTTGGCTGCCTGCAGGAGTTGTAGGTGAGGCTGAGCTTACGTGGGGGCAAGAAGTGGCAGGAAAAATGGGACTCGGGCAGTAGGAACCACAGAAGGCTTTGGACTGAGCAAAGCAGGCTCAGATCTGAGGCCCGTGGATTGGAGGGGAGACTGGATTGTACTCTATGGCCTGAGTGTGTTCAGAAGTTAGCTGTACCCGGTGTATTTGAGAAATGACCTGCCTTGGGGGATAATGAGGCTGCGAGGTAGGTAGGCTCAGGTCAGAAGGGGCTTCCGGAGCCCGGCCTACACACTGGGCTCCATACAGCTTCACAGAACCCTGTTCTGTTGTTCAGGAATCCAAACATGTCTAGAAGCTGAAAGTTCTTTTCTAGGTTCAGCACAAACTCATTTCGCTGCAGTCATCCTGAACTAATGTGAGGCTATTTGCGGACTTTTTTTTTTTTATCCCCTTAAGTGTGTCATGGTCTTAACTACAGAAATATTAGTGGGTTTGATCATGGGGTGCTCCCCCAGGCCCTACTGGGAGTTTATGTAACCATCTGTACACCAGCCATTTGCCTCTCTGAAATCTGAAAGATTCAAAATTCTGAAGCCCATCTGGCTCCAGGGGCCTCCTCTGTGAGCAGAGGGGAATCACTGAAGGTTTGATGGCAGCAGGGCAGGCTCTGCTGGGAGGGAGGGACTGTCAAGGGGAGGCTGCAGGTAGGGACTCCTGAGTAGGCCGGGGCCTCAGGGACAGAAGAGGGGATGGGCTGGTGCCATATTTGGGGCAGAAGGAACCAGATATGCGTTATTATCTACCTGGGAGAGCTTAAGGAGGGCATGAAAGAAAAGGGAAAAAGACAGACAATGTTGGATTTGCAACTGGTCTTAACAAAAAGAATTGACAAAGCATTTTATATTTTTAAAAATTCTGGCTTGTACTCATTTGTAAAATTAAAAAAAAAAAAAATTAACTATATGATGCAGGCAACGTAGTGAGACCCCATCCCTACAAAGCATGAAACAAATTTTCCAGGTATGGTGGCACATACCTGTAGTCCTAGCTACTTGGGAGGCTGAGGTGGTAGGATCACTTGAGCCCAGGAGGTCGAGGCTGCAATGAGCCATGATTGCACCACTGCACTCTAGTCTAGGCAGCAAATCAAGACCTTATCTCAAAAATAAAAATTGGGCCGAGTACGGTGGCTCACGCCTGTAATCCCAGCACTTTGGGAGGCCGAGGCGGGTGGATCGCTTGAGGTCAGGAGTTTGAGACCAGCCTGGCCAACATGGTAAAACCCCATCTCTACCAAAAAATACAAAAATTAGCTGGGCATGGTGGCACACACCTGTAGCCCCAGCTACTCTGGAGGCTGAGGTGGGAGAATCCCTTGAACCTGGGAGGTGGGGGTTGAAGTGAGTCGAGATCACGCCACTGCACTCCAGCCTGGGGACAGAGTGAGACTGTCTCAAAAAATAAGCCGACTATTGACTGTTAATGAACTACTACATTTTAAATCCTCTGAATCTCCTGTAAGGCACCGTTTTATGAGTGTGACTTACCCAAACAGCATTTCACTAGCTTTAAAACAACCAAATTAAATGCAGAAGGGTCTTAACACGTATGTCTCCGAAAAATGGAACTAATACATTCATTTGCTTCTGCATACCTTCCTATGGCTTAGGGCAGATTAAATAATCTCTCTGTGCCTTAGTTTCCTCATCTGTCAAATGGGGCTAAAAATAGCACCTGCCTCAGGATTCAGTGACTCAGTATTTGTCATGTGCTACCTGGCATGTAGGAAGTCCCATGTAAGTGTTAATCTGCTACTGTTGTTAGAGCTGGGAAAATTCTTTTCCTGGAATGTTAGTGGCTTAAGGAACCATGATTATAGTGTTGGGGTCTTTAAAACGTATTTGCTTTGAGATTTTTCCCCTTAAATGGTGGGTATTTTCCTAATGAGAAACTGACTTTGATTCTCAAAGGGGAAAGTTCTGATTTTTCGTTCCTTTCTGAATTGAGACATTTCTTCCCCAAGAAGGGGGGAATGCCGGGTGCAGTGGCTCATGCCTGTAATCCCAGCACTTTGGGAGGCTGAGGTGGGTGGATCACTCGAAGTCAGGAGTTCAAGACCATCCTGGCCAACGTGGTGAAACCCCGTATGTACTTAAAAAACAAAACAAAACAAAAAACACAAAATTAGCCAGGCGTGGTGGCACATGCCCTGTTAACCCAGTTACTGGGGAGGCTGAGGCAGAAGAATCGCTTGAACCCCGGGAGGTGGAGGTTGCAGTGAGCCAAGATCACACCACTGCACTCAATCCTGGGTGACAGAGTGAGATCTTGTCTCAAAAAAAAAAAAAAGGCTGGGAGTGGTGGCTCATGCCCAGCACTTTCAGAGACCGAGGGGGGCAGATCACGAGGTCAGGAGATCGAGACCATCCTGGCCAACATGGTGAAACCCCGTCTCTACTAAAATACAAAAAGTTAGCCGGGCGTGGTGGTGTGCACCTGTAATCCCAGCTGCTAGGGAGGCTGAGGCAGGGTAGTCGCTCAAACCTGGAGGTGGAGATTGCAGTGAGCCGAGATCAGACCACTGCACTTCAGCCTGGTGATGGAATGGGACTCTGTCTCAAAAAAAAAAAAAAAAAAAAAAAAAAAAAGAGGGAGGGGAAGAAAGGGGGTGCCCAGGTCTGCAGGGCAGGTGGCTGGGCTGACTGGGTTCACTGGGGCCTTCCTGAGCTGGGAGGGAATGGGCTGGGAGCAAGACCATGAAGCCCACCAGAGTGAGTATTTAGTAAACACCAGAGGCTGTTGCCTCCTGAATGCCCTCCCCACTTCCCTCGGGCCTGTTTGTCTGAGGCCTGATTCCTCCCCTAGGTACCTCATGGCAGGGCCAAGCTCCAGCAGCGAGGAGGATGAGGCCTCCCACAGCGGCAGCAGTGGAGATGAAGCCCCCAAGCTTCCTCGAAAGGTCTGATGCCTGCTGTCCAGTGGGGGAGGGTGTAGTGGGAGGATGACATGGGTCTGCTGTGGCACCCCAAACTTCCCATTCCTGCCTCTTGCAGGTACCCCTGCATCACACCCACACTGTTCCTGCCCTCCTCACCCACCCACTCTCCCTCCTCAGCGCCCCCAGACCAAAACCAAACCCACTCAGGCAATGGGACCCAGCTTACCCCAGAAGCCCCCATCCCCTGAAGAGACCAAAGCAGCCTCACCAGTGCTCCAGGAAGATATAGACATTGAGGGGGAACAGTCAGGTCAGACTCTGAGGGAGGAGAAGCTGGGGCTTGGACTCCTGAGTCTGAGGGAGGGAGGAGGGGCTGGGGCCTGGACTCCTGTGTCTGAGGGAGGAAGGGCTGAGTCCTGGACTCCTGGGTCTGAGGGAGGAGGGCCTGGGGCCTGGACTCCTGGGTCTGAGGGAGGAAGGGCTGGGTCCTGGACTCCTGGGTCTGAGGGAGGAGGGATTGGGGCCTGGACTCCTGGGTCTGAGGGAGAAGGGCCTGGGGCCTGGACTCCTGTGTCTGAGGGAGGAGGGGGTAGGGGCCCAGATGACTGGATCTGGAGGGCAGTTTAGGCCGGGGGCATGAGATGCCTGGGTCTGTGCCACACTGGGAGAGCTGCCAGTCTTCCTAGGAGATAAGGCAGCCTTGCACTGACTGAGCTTCTACTTGTAGAAGGACAGGACAACGGGGCAGAAGATTCTGGGGACACAGAGGATGAGCTGAGGAGGTAGGGCTGGGGCTGGGGGTTGGGGTGTCCCTGGCCTTGGGTGTAGGGGAGGCTGCCCTGCATGCTCACTCTCTGCTCCTCTTGGCATCCCCAGGGTGGCTGAGCAGAAGGAACACAGACCACCCCCTGGCCAGGAGGAGAACGGGGAAGACCCGTATGCAGGCTCCACGGATGAGAACACGGACGATGAGGAACACCAGGAGCCACCGGATCTGCCAGTCCCTGAGCTCCCAGGTGGGAAATCCCCCCATCCCTCCTGAAGCAGCATTTTCCCTTCTCAGTTCTCAACTGGGACTTGCCCTGGCCAACCCTGGGGTCACTGCTGTCCCTGTGTCTTGCCTCCCCTCTCCTTCCTCAACCCACTCCCTGCCTCAGCACCTCCAGGTTCTCCTAGGCTTGTTCCCTTCCCTTCAGCATCCTCTCTGTGTCTTGCCTTTTTCTCCCCTCCAGATTTCTTGTTCTGACCACTCCCCTTGCAGCCATGTGCCAGGTGTGACCTCCTTTTTTTCACATCAGGGGTGAGGGCCCCACCCTCATGCTAGTGATTCACTTGCCCAGGTGCCGTTCTATTGGTCTGGGGTGAAGCCGGGCACACCAGGTGACAGGGGCACTGCTCTCTGTCAGGCCCTGGGTGGGCGCACACCAGTGTTGGCTTTAACATCAGCCATCACTCTGGACATGGATGCTGTCTGCACACATTGTGTGTGTGCATTTCCAGTGTAAAATAATAAGAATGAAAGAGAATGGGGAAACTCTGCAGGGAGTTGTGGGATGGGGGGCAGGGAGGCAGAGCTTGTTTGAGAATGAAGGGAGCAGAGGAAAGGCAGCCAGGGGCTGTGCAGAGGTGTGGTTCACGGACTTCCAGAAGAGCCGTTTCCACCCAGTTTCTCTTGGGTGATGGGCAGGAAGATGCTTTGATTCTCCAAAGCTCCTAAAGTGGCATCAGCAAATTGATGGCCTAGAGAGTCACCTTAAAATGGAAAGGAGCTACCCCAAAGGTCAGAGCAAGAAAGGCACTGGTTGGAAAGGAGAGCAAAGGTGAAGAAGTGGCAGATACTGATGTTTCCAGCCTGGACTAAGCTCATTAAGTGGCTCCAGGCAGGCCAGGCATGGTGGCTCACCCCGTACTTTGAGAAGCCGAGGTGGGAGGATTGCTTGAGTCCAAGAGTTCAAGACCAGCCTGGACAACATAGTGAGACGAGACCGCCCCTCCCCCTCACCCGTCTTTACAAAAAGTTTTAAAAATTAGCTGAGCATAGTGGTGTGCACCTGTAGTTCTGGCTACTCAGGAGGCTGAGGTGGGAGGATTGCTTGAGCCCAAGAGTAACATGTCAATACCCCATCTGTCTACAAAAAGTTTAAAAATCAGCCGGGCGTGGTGGCACACACCTGCAGTCCCAGCTACTGGGGAGGCTGAGATGGAAGAATCACTTGAGCCCAGGAGGCAGAGGTTGCAGTGAGGCAAGATCACGCCACTGCACTCCAGCCTGGGCGACAGAGTGAGCCCTTGTGTTAAAAAGGAAAGAGAGAGAGAGATAAGTGGCTCCCGCCTGTCTGTCAGAAACAAATTGCAATAATAGTCATTGTATCTTATACTGTTAAAGCAAACGAACCAACCAACCTGCATACCTCCCCAGAAGGCTCTGATGGGCCGCTGGGCAGGGGCCACTGCCCGCCATCAATCCCTGCCCACATGTGGACAGCCCTCTCCTCAGCTGCTGGGTCAGCCTTGTCACTCCTGTCTGGTCCTGGGAACTCCTGGGGCCTCACGCTTACCTTAGCCCCCTTCTCTCCTGCAGATTTCTTCCAGGGGAAGCACTTCTTCCTTTACGGGGAGTTCCCTGGTGATGAGCGGCGGAAACTCATCCGATATGTCACGGCCTTCAATGGGTGAATCTCCAGGGACTGGGGTGGGGAATGGGTGATGGGTCCAGGGGAGGGCTCAGGGACCTGCTGGGAGGGGTGGGGGTGTGGGAAAGAAGACCATCAGAAGGATGGAGAAGGGCCATGCCCAGCAGGTGAGCACAGGCCATGGAATCCGAATGCCAGCTTGCCCACCGCCAGCAGCCCAGGATACATTGCTTGCCTCAGTTTCCTCTTCTCTACAGTGAGGATCCCTACCCCTACCCCTGCTTCTGAAAGGGTTGGCCTGAGGATTAGCCACTGTGGGAGCTCTGGTCATTGTAGCTATGGCAAGATGGATACATGGAAGAATGGAGTCACCACAGGCAGCCTAGAGGGGGAATAGGTGGGGACAGTGTGAGGACAGCTATTGAGAGTGGCTGGGGAGTAGGATGTCAGTGCTGATTCCCTGATGTGCCTTCTACCTCTTTTCTTCTCTCCCACCAGGGAGCTTGAGGACTATATGAGCGACCGGGTTCAGTTTGTGATCACGGCACAGGAATGGGATCCCAGCTTTGAGGAGGTGAGTACCAAAGAGGCAGAGAATGGGAGACCCTGGCACACCTTTGCATCTCCTCCGTCCTCCCCTTGATGACACATTCCTGTATGGACTCCACCCCACCTTGCAGGCCTTGATGGATAACCCCTCCCTGGCATTTGTTCGTCCCCGATGGATCTACAGTTGCAACGAGAAACAGAAGTTACTTCCTCACCAGCTCTATGGAGTGGTGCCACAGGCCTGAAGTATGTGCTACACACACACACACACACACACACACACACACACACACACACACACA